TCGCTCTGCTAAGAGATGGAGCTCATCAGGAGGATGTGCATGAGAAATCATGTACTTCTGCCCAATGCAAGAACCGATGGCATTGAAGCCCATTTGCTACACCCCACTGATCCCCATGAACCCAACTCTACACAACTTGTTCACGACCTAATAACCAGATTTTTCCTGAAGAGTTGCAAGCATTCATGTCGACTATCAGCAGGGCAGCCTGGAACCACATTATTAGGAAACCACAGGAGGGAGGCCTTGGGCTAATTGACCCCAAACAGGAGTCCATAGCACTGAAGATGAAATGGGTTATCAAGATCTTGATTAGACAATTCATTCCACGGACCCAGATGGCTCTAGACAGCATCAGAAACCTGGAACCTATCAACTCCCCCCCGAATATGAGAGGCCTCTTCTGGCTAATGGCGGCGGACTGGACAATCAAATCAGGCAGACCTCGCAGAAGAAACCCGACAGAGCCCATCACAACCCCCACCCAAACAGCTATCTCATACTGGAGACCTACCATCAAATCCTGGCGCAGAATGATGCCAAGCAAACACGGTACACCAGGAAACAGAGAATAGGTCCTGAGACAACCTCTTTTCTGCAACACCTGGATCATAAACCCTAGCGAAATGCCGTGGACACCACGCACAAGGGACCAGAGATGGCTGTCCTGGGTGGAAAAAGGGGTGTGGCAGATGAAACACATCTGGGCAGAAGATCGAGGACGATGGTATACAGAACAGGAACTCAAGACATGATTTAAAAGGCTGCCACTCCCTTACTGAAAACCTAACGTTGATTCAGAAGAGCATTCCAACACAATGGCTCTCCCTTCTAAGGGAGGATTTTTTGTGTAAGTCTGGGGATTGGGGCATACTCGTCTCCCAAACCCAGACTACCAGAGCATATTGGTTTGTCTCTCGAATCCACTCAGCTACTTATCCAAATTCTACTCATACCCCATCGCTAATCACAACCTACAAGAGCTGGGAATCCTGAACAAAGAGCCCCAGTGTGACATACTAGAAGCCTTCCGACTGAGAAAAGTGAGGGTCTCAAAGGCCAAGCCCTGGAAAATCTTCCAACCGGACCTCATCATTTCGGACCTCGAATTCGACCCGAAAGAGTGGGTCTAGAAGCAGGGTAAGTCCGGGAGAACGAGGACGATATTTGAATATGAAGTTAAATTCAGTTATGAATTGGGCTTACAGACCACAGATCCGGACCCCAGACTTACAGGAAAATGGAGAGAGATCCTTAATCTAGACCCCACGGACCCCATTTCCATCCCTTGGGCGAAGTACCTGTCTATTAGACCGGTTAGGATCTGAAGCATGCAGTGGCTCGTAGCGCACACATCTCTACCGGTCAACCAATGGCTCCACAAGAGGAGGAAATATACAGATACTGACAGCTCCAAATTATGCAGGTTGTGCACGAACAACTTCCCGGAAGACATACCCCACTGCCTCCTGTATTGCACTGAAGCAGCATGGATATGGAACAAGGTGTATGTCATGTGGTCCCTCCTCTTCTCATCACCCCCTCCACCCACAACTGTGAACATCCTGCTCCATCCAACAATACTAAAGATCTCAAAGGTGGCAAGGAAGTCCGGTTTCGCTTGCTCAGGAAGCTGGCTCTATGGGTAATCTGGAAGGGGAGGTACCAAGACTATCGAGGGTACCGAGGTGGCAAAGGAAGAAATGTGGATTCTACTGCTGGGAATGGTGGAAACTGAGATTCGATCCAGATGGAGGGAGGTGACATCAACAACGAAAGTCGGACCAGAAAGATTAGCCATCAAGAGACGATCTTTCGTGAGAAACTGGCTTCTAAGTTCTACAGGGAAAGATTGCAACCGTGGCAGATAACAGATTGATTTGGAAGAAATGGCACAGCGCAAATCCAGCAAGGACGATAACCCAGTGATGGGCAAACTGAGATTACAATCTCAACAATATAGATGACTCTCCTCTTTTCTTGCTTTACACGAATGATCTGACAGAGTCACAGTAGATTCTGAGAGGAGAAGTGGTAGGGCAAGCTGACAGTCAATCCTCCAGTTCTGGAGCGATAAATGCTGGTCAGGTTTCCTTCGGCCAGACGGAAGGAAGCGTGAGAGTGTTCACCATGTATTTCAATCATACTTGCGGCGCACCGGCACTGTGCGTTGCGCAGTGCGCTGTGCGCGGACCCGAGGTGCGCTCACCGGCGCGCGCCACGCATCTGGGTGTGCAGTGCGCGCTGCGCTGCGCACGTCTGGTGTGCTGCGGGCGTGTGCGCAATGTATATTTCCGCGCATCTGGGTGTGCAGTGCGCGCTGCGCTGCGCACGTCTGGCGTGCTGCGGGCGTGTGAGCAATGTATATTTCCATGTTCCAGCGGTAGATTCATTCGATTTTGCTCATCCTATCGATGGAAGTACCAGGAGGCCAGCCGTGAGGTTGGAGACTTACCTGCTCTCTGTCTCTCTCTCTCTCTCTCTCTCTCTCTCTCTCTCTCTCTCTCTCTCTCTCTCTCTC